ATCAACACGCTCGACCACATTACTGGAAAAGTTATTGACGTGAGCCGCACACACCTTCCATTAAAGGCTTTGACAGGGTTAGTGCGAAGTTTGAATTCAGGTGTTAAAGCTTTAAAAACAGTAAATTCAATTCAACTCATTTTGTCATTTTTGTTTTTGAAGAAAGAAAAAGAATCCCGAGTTAAGCACCTGTATGCGCCATGCAGTCAAATCTGTATTAATCGCGCCAGTCAAACAAAATGTTCTATTTACACGCCCGACCCACTCTGGCCAGTGTCTCCTCCGATTACAAGCACTTGACACCGAACCATACGATATCTTTTCAAAACCTTCGTATAATGATAAACAGTTTAAATAGAGGTTTCGCTGTACGCAATTCTTACGTTCAAAATATGCCATAATCATATTTATCTACATCGCAACCACCCTTCCCCCTCAACTGCTACCTGTAGGCCTAAAAAACATATCGAACGCACTCTCCTAAGCTCAGATTACTCCTAGTTTATTTCGTTAAAATTTACACAATGCACTTATTTTTACAATACATGTTGGTGCGAGGTTTGTAAAATAATTGCGTTCGAGCTACGAGAACGCAACCCCTAATTTGTGTTGGGTGTTCTGTACATTATTGGGTTTCCTGTGCAATTTATAAGGGAGGTTTTTTGAGATTGCATTTGTCGTCGTCGTCGACACACATTTGCCTCGCTTTGAGGCGCTTGCTTACGTTTTGCCTCACTTTAACGAACTAACTCACGTGGTGATTAGTGTGTCCTCAAGCGTTTACTGAGGTCTCATTATTCTGTCTTCGTAAAGCGTTCATCTTTTAAAAGTTTGCTGAATCTTCGTAAAGCGTACATATTTCAAGAGTTTGCTGAAGGTCTACAATCGATCTGTTTTTGCTGAATCTTTCAAAACGTTCATTTTCAAAAGTTTCGGCGGCCGTTGTCCCACAAAGTAAATCTACCGAGTTGTGTAGCTCGGCAGCCGTTGTGTCACAAAGTAAATCTACCAAGTTGTGTGGCTAGGCAGCCGTTGTGTCACAAAGTAAATCTACAGAGTTGTGTGGCTAGGCAGCCGTTGTGTCACAAAGTAAATCTACCAAGTTGTGTAGCTCGGCAGCCGTTGTGTCACAAAGTAAATCTACAGAGTTGTGTAGCTCGGCGGCCGTTGTGCCACAAAGTAAATCTACCGAGAAGTGAGGCTCGGCGGCGCCGTTTCATCATGACTTGTAATATTTTCGGCACCGGAGAAACGAACATTTTAGGTCTATGTTATTTATTCGGAAAAACCTGTATTTCTTTTCAAAGTACCTTTTAATTCTTCTATTTAAGCTATGGAAATCGCGTTAATCGACTAGATCATCAGAAGGTTAGGATTGGAGGTACTAATGTGTTGTAAGCTACCGCCCATTTGTTGAGCTTTCATTTACACTAGATCGTAATCGCCTAGACTGTGAATATAAGGGGGAATATATATACCGCGTGACCAAATTTCCCTTCTTTTTGTCGCTTACTGTTCATTACTTCTATATAAA